CAGCAGAAAGGAAAAAAGAACTACTAAACTTCGCGACAGCATGGATGGCACTGGAGAGCATTATGCTAAGTGAAATAAGCCAGGGGGCGAAAGACAAATACCATATGATCTCACCTATAAGCGGAACCTAACCAACAACACAAAGATGCAAGGAAAATATGACCAGCAACACTGAAAGGAAAAGAAATCAACAGAGACAAGAGGGAAGGAGGGAGGGTGGGCGGCGAAAAGGAAGGGAAAGGGAAAGTCAAGGAACATATAGCAAGGACTCATGGACAAAACCAAAGGGGAAAAGCTGAGGGAGGGAAGGAGGGAGGGGGCAAGGGAAAGTGATGGCGGGGAGGCAGAGACAAATGTATTTAAAAAGAAAGAAAGAAAGAAAGAAAGAAAGACAGAAAGAAAGAAAGAAAAAAGAAAGAAGAAGAAAGAAGAAAGAAAGAAAGAAAGAAAGAAGGGAGAAAGAAAGAAAGAAAGAAAGAAAGAAAGAAAGAAAGAAAGAAAGAAAGAAAGAAAGAAAGAAAGAAAGAAAGAAAGAAAGAAAGAAAGAAAGAGAAAAAAGTGAAAAAAGTTTTACAAATAAATAAATACCTATTAGAAAAGGCTTTGATAATATCAACGAATCTAAAAAAATATATTAGTAGATAGGAGAAAGTCTAAAAAAATTAGTTTTTATTTGGAATATTATGTAGCCCTTACAAAGAATGATGGATGGATTAAAACAATGTGAACATTTTATTGTTTTTAAATAACCATATCAAATATATAGCATGCTATGCTTGGATCGTGCTTGGATATGTGTAACCTATTTCTGGAAGGGTGAAAAAGAATATCAGACATGATTGTCCATGGGATAGGAGTGGATTGACTAAGAATAGGAAAGAGACTTACTTTCATTGTTTACTTAATTTATACTTTTTGCATGTGTGTGACTGGTATGCATGATCTATGTTAATTAATTTATTCATTTTTATTTAAAGTAGTGAATGAGTAAAGATCTTTGAGAGGCATATCCTTTATTGGGAAGGTCCCTTGATAAAACAGATTGCAAAATAGAATAAGGCAGGTGTTGCCCAGTCGAGGCCTGTGGAAAGTGCAGCTTTGGAGTGTGGAGTTGGGCAGCTCAGAGCTGCAGGCACCTCCTGCTGATGTGGAGAGGGGCTGTGTTAGTGCTGGGTATGCAACTGCAGGAAGAAGTCTGCTGTGTCATGAGACACACACTTGCTGGCCTGGCCGGTCCAGAGCTCAACAATTGCCACAAACACAGGACCGTAGAGAAAATGTCCCTGTGTCTCATGCTTGCCTGCTGTGTATAGGACACCTGAAAATAGGCAACTATGAAGATTAGAGCCCTGGAATGGTCTACAGAGTGAGCAGAATTTCTTTACCATTCTGGCAAAGTTATTTATATCCTTTGTGGCCTTGGGCCCTTATTTATGGTTTGTAAAGAAAAGCATCTTAAGCAATTTTTCTGATGATAATTACACATGTTCAATCTACATAAACAGAAATATATAAAGTGAAAAGCACAAGCCCTTCATATGTCTCTTAATTTCCCCCCTCTGCCTTCTGCCCTAACTTAAAATCACTGTTTACGGCTTGATCTTATTTCCTTCCAAATTTTTGTTTGTTTGTTTGTTTGTTTTTGTTTCTTTTTTTTTCTCTTGACAACCTTTATTCTTTCTGAGAAAAATAAAAATTACATATAGCATGGGATGACTTGAGGTTATCGACAAAGTACATTTCTTTTCATAATTTGTTTCTCAGCCCAAAAGTTACAGAAATTATGGCCACTTCAATTGTATTATATATTTTTTTAATTTTATTTTAATTTATTTTTTCAAATACATTTGTCTCTGTTTCCCCCCCACCACTTTCCCTTGCCCCCTCCCTCCTTCCCTCCCTCAGCTCTTCCCCTTTCGTTTTGTCCATGAGTCCTTGCTATATGTTCCTTGACTTTCCCCTTCCCTTCCTTTTCGCCGCCCACCCTCCCTCCTTCCCTCTTGTCTCTGTTGATTTCTTTTCCTTTCAGTGTTGCTGGTCATATTTTCCTTGCATCTTTGTGTTGTTGGTTAGGTTCCGCTTATAGGTGAGATCATATGGTATTTGTCTTTCGCCCCCTGGCTTATTTCACTTAGCATAATGCTTTCCAGTGCCATCCATGCTGTTGCGAAGTTTAGTAGTTCTTTTTTCCTTTCTGCTGCGTAGTATTCCATTGTGTATATGTACCATGATTTTTTTGATCCAATCATCTACTTTTGGACACTTAGGTTGCTTCCAACACTTGGCTATTGTAAATTGTGCTGCTATGAACATACTCTGGTTTCGCCTTTTACTTCCAAATTTTAAGAAATGCATAAATACCCTTAATCACTTAACAGAAAAGGGATCCTATTATACATTATATTTTCTACCTGTATGCAGTATAGACCAGGAGTCAGCAAACTTTTTCTGTAAAAGGTAAAACAGTAAATATTTTAGGCTTTACCTGGCATACAGTCCCCGTTGCAATTATTCATCTCTGCTACTACAACAGGAAATCAGCTATAGATGATACATAATGAGTGGTCATAGCTGTGTTCGAACAAAACTTTGCTTACAAAATAGGGTGCAGGCCACATTTGGTTTATGAGACATAGTTTCTCAACCCCTGATGTACATAAACCTACCTCACCCATTTTACTGGGTGCCCAGTACTCCATTGAATGGATGCATACATACATTCACTTAGCTCACCCCAGATTGGTAGATATCTCCAATCATTTCCTTTAGAAACCCTCTTCATCAAGCATTACTTGCCAGTTGGATGCTGAGCTGATGCTCGCTCTCTATCTCCCTGTGGACGTGCTCACTGCTTTCAGTGGTGCACTGACTTTTAATGCCCTGTGGACTGCTCCTTATTCCACCTGCCTCCTTGTGCTTTCACCACCTGAGGGTACCAGCAGTCCCAAGCTTATTCAAGCATGTGTACTTGTTTTTGTAGCATGCAATTCAATTAAATAGAAATGGAAGTGCAAGAAAGAGATTGTTGATTCTACAAAAACAATATTGGTTATTTTTGCAAAGACCAGATTAAGGTAAATTGCTTTTTTAAAAAAATTTGTCAAATTAGGTGTGGGTGAGAAAATTATAATAGACTGAAATCAAAGAGCCTTGGGTGGACAGTGGGTGTGCCCGCTTTTGAGCTCTTTGGACACGGCAGTTTGGGCTGCAAGGGTGGGTTGGGGCACAGGCACTGGCCTGCTTCCTTCACAATTTTCAAAGGCTGCACTGGACAGGGAAACTTCCTTCTGCGCCAGGACACCCCATGCTTGAACCTTGCCTGGCCATTTTTTCCAGATCTTTGTGTCTTTCCAGATACCTTGCATCTCTGATGTTTTGCCTATATTTTCAGATTCTGTTTTTTTCTCTCAAATGCCTAACCTATTACCATTTAAAATAGTAGTAAGCCCATATTTACATGTTGATGTTGTTTATGCTTTATTTCCTTTGCACACAGTCTATTCTGTTTCCCCCAGTTTTTCTCGCAGGCAGAATCTATCTTATCTGACGTAGCAAAGCAGTTAACATTGATTCTGGTGAATGGTCTACTTTGATTTTTGCTACAGGGAGATTTTAGCACAAATTCACATATATTGTTTTCTCAACAAATAGAAAAATATGTTCCACATTCATTGCGCTGCAGATGCCGAGCCTGCTGTTTTGTAACTCACTGTCTCATCTCTTTTATTTGCTTTCTCTGTCACTGTCGATCTTTGGCTAATACTTCATCCTTTATGCAGACTCCTTCCTTGGAGCCGAATTTGGCAGTGGAGTTTGCCTAACTAATGGGGACCATATGCTCTGCAATTACATTCCCCAACAACATTCAGATTTGTTAGCAAATATTGGAGAAGGCAAGTTGAGAGACTGGCATGCAAGGACTGTCAGGAATTGGCACATTCTGACAGGTAAACCTGCTTTTGCTGACCTCTGTTCTGGTATGGGCTGGTATTGGCTTAGGTGGGACAGAGATTTGTTTTTGAAAGTATCAATTAATAAATTGTTCTTCAAATGGATGAGTACCTCTTTTACATGTCCCCAATTGCACATTGTGTTTAACCCATAGATCAGTTTTTAATACATGACAATAACTTGTTTATTTGTTCATTCCACTCCTCCCCAGACTGGAGACTGAGGTTACAGTGTTATTCACTGTTGTGTTCCCAACTCCCGGTAGAACACCAGCGTAATAGCTATTCAGTTAACACTTGGCTGATGAACGAATGAGAATCTCTAAAATACATTAAATGTCACTACATTATATACATTACATACATACACTTGGAAGGTTTTTCTCCCTTCCTCCAGCATAGACCAGACTTATTGTTGGGAGTCCAGCCTCCCTGAAAGAGTTCAAATTCATAGGATTCTGCTTAAGATTTAAATTATGGTCTTGAAATGGCAACAGTAATTTTGAAAAGGTTTCTTTTTTGTTTGTTTTCTTTTTTCTTTTTTTTCTTTTTTTTTTTTTTTTGCCTTGAGATGAAGTTTGTCTCTCACTCTGTCAGGGATGAGTGTAGGGCAGGATGAGTCAAGCTTTTAGCAGGTTGTCCTGGGTAAGCCAAAGTAAAGAAACTGTAACTAGATTGGAAGCAGGTGGCTGAGGTGTGACTCACTGAAGGCTACCCATTTCTTTAGAGGCCTGCACGCTAGATTCTCAAGCATCACATCTAATGACAGTGGCTTTTCTTTTCCCAGACTGCCCATTGCAGCCTTAGGCTGGCACCCACCGACAGTGTACCTGGAGAGGCAGGGATCTATTTGTAACCAAAGCTAGAAAGGCAAGCGTATGGATCCTCTCAGTCCATAACTTTGCCTTCATCAGAGAAAGCAAAAAAGCCTGCCAAGAACACAGGGATTTTGTCATTTTCAGCCCCCTCATCACCCCACAGCCATGCGGGTGCTACAGAGACACAAGACACACTCATTTTAGAACACAAATACATAAATTTTTAATCTGCGAAAAATACAAAATGAAACCATGTACAAGTTATGTACAAACCCTTTTTACAAGACAAGAGAGTTATCACTGGTTGTTACAGATGACAGAGTTGGGTAGATCATTTCAGAGCACCAGCATGTATTCTTTTCTCCAATTCCTGTCAGTCAAGTCATTAATTTGTAATCATAATCATAATGCCAACAATCAAAAGTTGAAAACACAGATGAATAAGCCACACTCTTCTTCCTTAATGAACATGTAGGCTGACCTCTGTGTAAGCATATATTTTTTTACTTTGTCCCCTGAAGAAATGTTGAGTGCAGGTGTTGGTGTGAAGTGGGGGCAAGTTTCTTTACAGGATCTGGGTGGTGGGAAGCGGGCCAGAAGTTTTAGGCAGGAAGTGATTGTGCCACCTAGGAATGGAACATTTTAAATAAAGATTTCCAGGCCAATCTTGGTTTACATTTGAAATGTTTCAGTTCTGGTCAAATGTTTCTCAGGCTGTGCTCAACAGAAGGAGAAGGGGAGCAGGCCTGCCTGGGGTGGCCAGGGCTTTGGTTCAGTGTGGAAGTGGGGATCTATCCGCCCTGCTGGCTACCATCTCAAATTAATCCTGAATCCTATGTGAGGAAAACTCTGGTTTGTCCTGGCAGGCACGTGTTAGTGCCCTGTCCACATTTCTGAGATTCTGAGCAATGGGCCTGGTACTGCTTCCTAACACAGCTTTGCTGTCACTTCGTCCCTATTCAGCTGAAGGGCAATGTGGAGGAGAGGAAACACAGAAATGCTCAAGGGGATAAACAGACCAAATGAAACATTTTAAAATTTAAAATCTACCTAGAAATTAATGTTAGTTTTCACCAGGCCAGGAAATACTCTTCTCGTGCTGCCTGTCAAGAAAAGCCACCAAAGCAAAATGATTATAGCACTTAAGCAGCCTGAAACCAAAGCACCAGTGTGTGTGCTTGAGTTAGGGGGTGAGAAAGAATGGAGTGACATGAACAGGGAGGTGAAAGAAGAGGTCCTCTCTTCTGAGTCCTTCTCCAGGAAGAAGGGATCTGGAAGAGTTGTCCAACCTCCATTGCCCATGGCATCCAAAGTAACTCACAATGGCTGGCTGAATGCCTACCCTGGCCAGGTCTTTTGACACATAAACAAAGTTCCTGGCCTTGTCAAGTGAGTCCTTTTACTTATGAGCCATGATCTCTAATACCCTTCATCTCCAACCTCTCCATCTTAAAGTTTCCCTCTCATGTTTCTCATTTTCCTGGTTCTGGAGTACCCTAGGTCCTCTATCCCAAGAGTGTCAACTAATCCTACTCTTTTTAGCCCCTAAAAACATGGGGGTAACCCCCTAAAAGTCTTCTGACAGCTGATTTTTCATGCCTGCAATTCCTCCCTTGGAGAATTCAGCCATGCTCCCCTTTTTACAACTAACTTCTGTGGACCTGGTTTGCAAATCTACAAGGTCTGCTATAACCTACCCTCTCTTCCACACTTTTCCTTACGCATGTGATGCCTTCTCTTACTTGAAGCTCTCAGCTTCTTCCATGCTGGGTTAATGCAATGTATTTCTTAGCTGCCCGCGCTTGCAGGCCCCCCTTCCTGTTTTCTTTTCTATCCCTCTACATGTTTCTTCCCTTGAGCTCCAAATTCAGTGTTCTTTTCACAAAGAACCTTTTCCAGGACTATAGTCATTGTCCCAACTCCCAGCCCACACGCCAGCGTCTACAACTCCAACTAAGCTGCTATAGTTATCAGGACCCATAACACATATTGGAGGAAGACAGGAGCTTTAGAATGTTTCGTGTTGACTTGGAGTGTGCACCCCTGAGAACTCACTGCTACTGAGAAAATGTTCATCTTTGTGTACACTCCCATGATGACTTCCAGGAGGAACTGAATCTCAAAACTTTTAACCTGACCGATACATAGGCATTGGTGTTCATCATTCTGTTTAAAACTCTTAGTAGCTTTCCATGACTTTTTAAAATAAGTCTCAATCTCTTAGGTTGGCCTTTAAAACTATTTACTTTCTAGTCCCTTCCAGGAAATCTCCTCTTAGTTTTCCTCAGCTCTCCTATGTGAACTCGTCCCCATAGACAAAATGGTCTATGTATGGAAATCACATTCTTACCAATGAGCTATGGCCCATTAAACCCCCTCTCCCTGAAAAACCCTCACGCTACACATTTCTCCAGTCACTTATTGCTTATTGAAATACTTCCAAAACCCATCAAGCATTATATTCCTCTGTATTTTTCCCAGCCCATGGAGGTCAATGCAACCTCTCATTCATTTCAACCCAGAGTACTAACTCCTGCCATGACACATATGCTCCTGGCTGATGGTGCTTTAAAATGCTGTTTTTATCTTTTTGTTTTTGTTCTTCCTTCCCAGCTCCTTGACCAATGTCTTGAGTTAAACTTATCTTTAGATACAGAATTTTCAGGCCCATTTTCTTTCTAAATAAAACAAGGTACAAAAATGAAGGTCTGGTACAGATAATCTAACCTAAAACTGCTTCCTAGTCGAACCACATGAGGCTGTGATATCATGGAACATTCCACTGTTGTAGGGGACCTGCTACATCAGGCACACATGCTGCTTTCTCTCTGTATATGTTCCTAACAAGCTTACAATAGAGATAACAAATTGGAAATAAAATTAAAGTATTTGAATTATTATACAGCAATTATTAAAATATTAACAACTGTTATTGCATGGGCAACAACCAATCAAAACAGACTTCACTTAAACAACCAATATGGTCACACTGGTAGAAACTGGCTGGAAATCATTTCTAATTACTGTTTTTTCATAAATAAATCCAGAGGGCCACCTCACTTCCTCAAATAGACATGGGATTTGAATGTTAAATCATCTGTTCTAAATGGAAAAAACTGCCCTTCACACATGGGATGAGCAGAGGAAGGGCTGAAAGGTAATTAACCAGGTAAGTTATAAGTGAATTCTCAGTTCCTTCTGTTTTTAAAAGATGGTAAGTCAAGCCCTAAATAGTAAAGGCCTTTTCATGGGCCACAGTAATTGGTGATTTTACTACCACTCCAAAGGCAACAAATAGGAACAGAACAGAAAATAGACAGGCTACAGGGAAAGAATAAAAAGTAGACAGATTCTGCACTGGAGCTCTATGTCCAAGTTGACTGGATTTCCTTAGTCTCCGATGAGTGAAGTGGCTCACATCCCAGTCACTTGGTTTGATATTCTTTTTTCCTCTCTCTTTCTACATCTTTTCCTCCTTTTATACCTCCCTTCCTTGCGTCATTTACTGAGGTTCTCTTTAACAATGAAAAATGATAGGTCAAAACTAGACTTATGAATGTAGCAAAGAGACAGTGTACAACTGAAAGGAAAAAAATATTAAATAAACAGAGAATATGGAATAAAGTAAGAAGTAAGACTGATTATTCCCTAAAGCCCAGATGTGAATGCAGAAATAAAAAATGATGGAAACCTCAGGAACCTAGTATTCATGAGCCTCAAACTACATACTGGAGATTGGAGATATGGGTTAGAGGTGAAAGGGTTGACCAAAACAGAATATTGAACCAAGAAAAAGGTCAGGCAGGAATGAGATTGCAAAGAACGCCCCAGGAACACACAGAAGAATCTAATCAATGTGATTCAGGAGAGTATGAATTTTGAAATTTGTGTTTTGAACCTAAAGAGACTCCAAACTGTAAAGCAGAAAAATGAACCTAACTGCTACGGTGTCCAGGGCAGAAAATGCACAGCAAGGAGGAGCACCAGTCTAGCACAGGACAAGATTGTCTCCAAGGGCTGGTTCCCGTGCTCCCATTCTTAACTTAGACCATGTCCTCTCAGATCTCAAAAGGACCTTAGAGTCATCTCAATGAATCACTCTCATTTACAAAGAGGTCACTGGAACTCAGGGAGTTTAAAGGACATTTTCAAAATGTATAGCTAGTTATTTGTAGTTGTAGTTCTAGAACCTTCAATGAAACCATCAGTAGGACATTTAGACTCTCATCTTTTCACATGAAAATATATCCAATTTTCTTATGCTTTATCACTTTCCCCCTTTCCAGTCCTAAATAAACAGTTTGAATTCCCAGTTTACTTAAAATGTTCAATTACATTTTGTACAAAAGCTGTCCCAACCTTTCCAGGGAAAGAATTTCTGGGTGTCCCCCAACATGTTTTAGTTACAATCATTTCTGTTTATGGTATTTTATATTGGTTCAAGGTGATATTTTAAAATATAAAATTTCTCAGGTGAAAGTAAAAGTATAAAAAGAAAGATGGTGACAGGACAATGCCTTTATAAGTAAGTGTTTTCTGTTTTTAAAATAGCCTGTTGGTGTGTCTTGGATTCCCAATGCACCCAAGAAACTTTAGTTGGGGAAAAAGGCTTTTCTGAACCCCAAACTGAGATAAGAGAGCAGAGCCTTATAACACTGTACCAAAGATGACAATCACTGGTCTATACTGAATTTATCCAGAAAGATGAGTTTTTCATGGTGGGGTGAGGTGAGCACTTCGTCAGGGCCGGAGAGCTCAACAAATCGAAACAAACCAAGAGCTCTGGCATTCTGTTGAGCCCCTCAGTGATCATTCACTCTTGTTTCTGTTTTCATTTCACTTTCAACCTACCAGGAAGCAACTTTCACCAAAGGAGCCACCAATCAATCATTTTGCACACTTTTTTAAAAGCATGCCTCATTTTATTTTCTGGCCCAGAACAACTCATTATTACAAAGGTGAAACAGCATGAGCTTCCTGCTCCACCTTAGAAGAACCTGGATTCCTACTAATTAGTTTTTTGGTGGGGGGGAATACTTGTACCATAGAGAACCATCTTAGCCATTTGTTTTTGTTTTTTTAAGTTCAGATTCAAATCTCTAGTATTGATGGGCCTGGAGTTTACATGTCTGCTTCCAGACTGACTTCATGTGGAGAGAGGAGGGAGGGGAGTGGACATGGGACTCTGTCGTCTAAGTCCCTAAGACCATTTAGGTGGCCATCATCACCTGCCAGAGGAGACCGAATAGTTAGGACAAATTCAGAAATGGTTGTGGGAACAAGAGTGAAGAAGAGACCCCCAGGGTTCATGAAGGAAAGAAGAGTGTGGATTGATGTTAATGTGCCAAGGTGACCCCAGTGCAAAATCCTCATGTAAAAGAAGGCCTGGCTTCCAGGAAAAGTGTAAAATCCTAGCAAGAGATTTGCCCCACAAACCAACGTTACTTTTGTTGGAAACCAGGAAATGTTTATAAGCCTGAATATAGACTGCTGACGTCATTTTAGTCTGCTGAGTAGGCTAGCAATTGATTATAAGTAGTTTTTAAACAATCCAATTGGACATACATTATAATCACAATACTTTTATAGAACTAATTCTACAAAATGTGACGACACAGTCTGACAGGTCACTTCAGGACGGCGCCTACACGGTGGAAGCATGACTACGTTGGCTCCACAGGGACAGAGGTGGAAGCTCATTTCACCTATGTTGTAATTGGAGTACTTAGTGGACATATGTTTTCATGGTGATTTCATTGCTTGCTTCTGATCTGATTTGCACTAACACACTAGGTACCACAGGGTCATGGCCTAAAGAATTAATGGAATAGGTATTATGGGACTCTGGGGGATATTTTGGTAAGTTTGGTTTCTTCAAGTGTCCACAGTTTACATTTTTAAGACAATAAAAATCACTGTCACATCCATGCTTCTCCAGAGACCCTGATAATTGTACCGAAGATTGATAATTTTGAAGTTAAAAGACTTGCTAAATCATTTGGAACGTAACAGTTGCCGGAAGGACTGTACACTGAACATGCAAGTGGCAGCAGAGCCGTGAGACATAGTAATTGTGTCTGATGGCTGAAAAAACTTTTGACCACAGTTTGAAGTGGCTGATACATTGGATTTCACTGCTTGGTTGTTTTCCAAGCCTATTTCTAACCGTTTGTTTTAAGTGCATTTGTTGCTTTCCTTTTGTTATTATTTTGTATGTTATTGTAGCAAGTGTGTGGGTTTTGTCCCAGTGACTAAAGGAAAGCCTGAAAAGCTAAAATCTGGGCAAAAGTTGTATCCTTGATTATAGAAAATTTTTGGCTTTTAAACAAAAATTCAGTGAAAAGATTGAATGTATTATCATATCCTCTTGTTAAGCAAAACTATTCATTAGTGCTTACAAACTTTCAGACTAAAATCTCTGAGGCTTGGGGAGTGGGGAAAGCCCACCAGATCCTTTCATAGTTGAAATACTTGCATGAGTAGTTTGGAGATATGAAATGAGAAGCATAACAGCATGTAGGAATTCCCACCACTACAACAATAGACAGAGCAATGTCTCCTGTGCATCTGGTCCTCAATTTCCACATTCCCAGGCGTGCTCACAACTCTCCTGGTATTGTTAGTTGGCTGGGTAAACCTGATCTGGCAATTGTAGAAAAGCTGCACAAAGGTCTTCCCTTTCAGTATATGAACAAAGGGATAAGAAATACAGAATGAAAACTAAAACTACAAAAATATGACTTTCAACTGTGAAAATAAACGTTTCCATTTATTAAGAGCTGGTGTCAGTGCAGCCAAAATACACACCCATCCAGGAAATTCACCTGCCCATTTTTTGTCTTCTCTTTTGAATTTACTAAAATACATGTTTACATCATTGAATCATTTAAAAATTTTTTATAATAATCCATTTCCTTTCGTTACAATTAATTGTGGTGGTGACCATCATTCTCCTCAAAGGAAAAGAGAAAGAAGAGAAAGACGCATTAAGGAGTCTGGCCACATACTCATTTTGATTTTGCATTGTTTAGATATAGGGAAGATATTTGACAATGAAAAAAAAGAAAAAATATATTTTCTTTCTAATAAATAAAAATAATTTAAAATGCTAGAGGCTATACATAACTATTTAAGTATGTTCATTTATAAATGAAATCATTTTCTTTTCCAAAATACATGGAAGCGATATTCAAGGCAGACAAAAAGGAAGATCCGTCTACTTTATTTTTCTTGCCAATCTCACTTAGCCTAACGTTTCCACCAGTGATTCAGCATGTAAGAGGAAGAAAAGTCACATCACCATTTATGAAGTTTGTCAGGCTTTAAAAAAATAGTTCTGGTCTCCTGGGAGTCAACATTCATCTTCAACTTCTCTGATTGGTGGAATCAAGCTGCTTGTGGATTTATATTGGTTGATCTGGTTAGCCATGTGGGTACTCATGGGCTTGATTTGAATGTTTCTGGGATAGGCATTATCCGGTTCATCTGTAAACCATTTCTTTTCTGCTAAAGGGCAAAATGGATAGAGAACAAGAAAGGAAAAATGAGAAGCTTAATTAGTCCTAGAGTAAAGCCTTTGGAAAGTTCATTGAAAAATGCAAAAAGGTAATAGATAGAAGCTGACAGTGAGTCAATGCTAAGAGAGACAGTGCAATGTAGGGAAAACCCCAGAAACATACCTGTGTTGCCATAGCAAGTGATGACCAATGGGCCATTAGGACTTGAGGCACCATGAGTGAACCTCAGAGAATAAAGAGGGGTTGGAAAACAAACTCTGGCAATGTTCTCTGGCATTGCTTTAGTGGCCTGAAAAGCTTTGGTGGGAAGGAGATGCTAAACATGTCCAACACTGGGTATAGACATTGTACCTGAAGAAAGATTTGTGTATTCACGTATTTGGGTGGAACGTAAGGGGAATCGTCTCTGCCGCAGAGTGAGTAATCTAGAATCTTATGCAGGGTCTCCTTGTCCCAGCCTTTACTTAGCTTCTCTTGTAAAATGAACACTTCAAGTTATATCTCAACCATTTCAATCTGCTAGTTCTTTTGCAAGCCAGTTTTGAGAGCCTTAAAGTAAACTCACAGATTTTGCAGGCCAATGAGATTAAAAACCAGAACAGCAACCAATGTTTTCAGAGGATTTTGAGATGGCTTTTAATTCAAGAAAGAAAACTCTTTATTGGTATAAGGCTCTCAACCAATTCCTAGCGACACTATCTTAACTGACCATAATATAAAAACCCAAGCTGTTAACAAGGAAGCTCCATGAAGTCTTAACATTTCATTTCCACCCTAAGTGCAGAAATGGCTGAGAAAGGGTGCCTAGTCAGAGCATTTGGGGGCCTGCATGAGAATGCAAATGGCCTAGCATCCTCTTAGCAGTTCAGTGCTATATTATAAGACTTAGCCCTCATCCCCACCTCTTTCTAGGATTGAAATTTTTCTGGAAAATAGGCCACGTGTACAGATACGAAGAGACTGGGTGAATAGGACATTCTAAGTTGAGACTCACATGCCTCATTAAGTGGCTTAGGAAAAGAAAAAGGGAAAAGCTCTCAGCACACCCAAAGTTATAGAGACCCTGACCTCTCCAGCCGCCTTTTCTGCCCACCAGAACAATTCATACCTGCCTTGTCAGTGGCCCTGGACTCACATGTTAATAAAAAATTGCTCACTTGATGTGACAGAAAAAGAGTGTGTTGTGTGTCCCCATTTGGCTAGTGATTTATAAATTCAGCATCTATGTTCTCTGATGAGCATCTAGGTTTGTGACCACCCAGCTTCTTCCTCCTGGGTCTAGACCTTCTCCTCGCTGTGTCAAGTACACTGAGCCCTCAATGTAAACGCTCTATCACTGGAGCTAGGGTGCACCTTAGTGAAAGCTTAGTAACTCTCCTTTGTTCAGCAGCTCGGTTTACCCCCTAGAAAACTTACTGCCTCGTGGATTATTCTCCACCCCCCTCTCTCCTGCTCTGGCTCTCTCACCTATTATAATTAAGTTCACTTTGATTTGAACAGATTGGACGATAGGAATTCATAATGCTACATCCTCACAGCGAAGCTAACTGATTAAGTGCTTTAAATTATTCCCCCTGACAGAATGATAAAGTTACAATCTGTTCTGAGATGATCTACAGCTTGCCAGACTCCTACAGCTTCTTTCTACATTCATTTATCTTTTTGTCAAGCAGAGTTTTTTTTTTTTCTCCCAAGCTTCAATTCCATAGATCTTTTAAAGTCATCAGCACATCTGAATTATTAATGAGGTTTTAGAGGCAAGGTTCCTGATGGGCTGGTTAAAAAAGGTTGTATAGAAACCGGAGACTGTGTACACATCAAAATAATTTCAGCTCCATTTAAAAAACCATTTAGTTCAAGTGTGACATAGATGAACCATTATGCATTTGTGGAAACCAATTTTTTTGTGATCTACGATTAAGCTAACCTTTCAGAGACGAGTAAAGTGTGATGGTTATCAGGTTTTAAAAGCATTGCCAGGACGCTGAAACAATTTCAAACTATGACTTTTTCCAACGGTTTATGTGTAAAAATGAGTTTCAGAAGCACTGAACCTGGCGCCTGTGCTGTTTGCCTGGGCTGCCCTTGGTTTTGGCCATGCCATGGTGGGGACTGATTTTGCAAAGGTATTTAGGGCTAGGTTGGGCGAGACAGGTCAGAAGGGAGAGTGAACTCTGCTTATGAAAATAAGCAGGTCTTTTGGGTGAGAGACCTAAGACAGTTGCAATTTGCTGAAATTTTTACAACTGCTGCCAACAATAATTGTTCAGAAGTTAGTCTTTCCAGTTCAATTCAAAGTTGGCATTTTGACCTTTCACAGCAGAGAAAATATCAATTTCCTTCTGCTATCTGTAAGAGAGAATTATTTCTCCTTGTAAGCTTCTTTCTCTTTCCTTTCAAGTTTCTTGCCATAAAAAAAAATTCTAAGCAGAGTAGCCCCTGTGTTTTGGCTACTCGGCCACAACACAAGAAGGAGTGGTGTTAAAGCACATCCCGGTGATGAGCTGAGGTTTTTATTATGCCTGAGAGACAGGCTTTTTAATTTGAATGGCTTGTAAAGATATAAGTACATGTGTTGTTGGAAACTTGGTTAGATAGGATGTTGAGGAAGTGGAAATATATCAATGCTCTGAGCATTGTACTAAAATGTCTGAGGGAAAAGGTATTTTAAGAAGAGATTCTCCCGAAGGGCTTCATGGGAACACACACGTCAAGATCACCAGTCATTCAGCTCCAGTGGAGAGAGTTTCAGGAATGACAATGACACTTGGTTTATTGAATCTTGCCTTCCAAAAAAGAATCTGCGCCAATGGGTGCCTCCAAAATCAGACATAAGGAAGGGTGCTCACGGAAGCAACTCCAATGAGTGCTGAAGTAGGGATCTAGGATAAATTCAAATCCCTGAGTTTATTTCCTCTCCTTGCCTCATCCCATACACCAGATTTCTGAGAATCTCTAAGAAATCTCTAGATTTCATTGCATCCCTAAGATGAGAAGAGCAATAGGTCAGACCATGAGGTCCTTATCCCTAACAGAGAAAAAGAGCCCATTTGTTAATAAGCTTCTTAAAGATGAGATGCATGATGTCATCACTGTGAATACAGGGAGTGGCACTGCACACAGTCTGTGGCAAGTGGGCTAGGAGAACAAGGTGAAACCTGGAAAATAACTGTAGAAAGGTGCTGGTAAAAGAACCGACACTGCCATTGGCAGATGCCACCTACCAAGGCATGCCATGGACATGCCTTGGACAGGTCCTAGACAGCGTGGACAGGCAATGAGGTGTAGGTCAAGGAGACAGCGTAGGGCAGAGGGTTAAGCTGGAATGGATCTGGCTCTCTCACATAATAGCTGCATGGCTCTGAGCAAGTCATTATGAAATGTATCTTAGCTTTAGTTTCTCTTCTGTGAAATGGGGCTAATGATAGGATTTTCCTAATGTGGTTGGTGTCCATGAATCACTTACCACAGGTCCAGTTACATGGTAAGTCAGTGTGAGCTGTGAAGGCTATACTAGTAATTATTAGTAATATTAGCAAGAAAGCATTATACCATAAAGGCAAAAATATTACAGACTTCAGTTTTAAATTCCACTCTGCTCCTTCCTGTCTAGGCAACTTTGAACAAATCTATCCTTCAGATTCTGCACCTTTCACACAAAGACACCAACGGTATCTACGTCTGAGGTTGTCTCAAGGATTGAATCAGCTAATACATGGAAGGTGCTTAGAAGAGTATCTGGCTCGTGGTGATGACTAATGTGTTAGCTTTGAGTATAAGGTTTGCACAAAGAGGCTACTACATTAGGATGGGTAGTGTCTTTCAGTATGATTGCAAATCAGCTGGGAGTAAAGCACTAAGGTATAAATTGAGGCGGGTGATTACTTGAAGAATGGGGATTGTGGCAGTAGAGACAACAGAGGAGGATTTAGTTGCGTACTCTTCATTTGGAAGGTGAGGAAAAGGGATGACCTGGTGTTCTGCCTGGGGAGGTCAGGGCTGCTACCGTCCTGTGGTACCTGTATCTCTGAAATACTGGCTTTTGCTCGACGGGCATCCTACTCCACCTGCAAATCATCTCCATCTTTCACTGTTACTGTCATCACTGAGATTGAAGGGTCCAAAATAAGGGTCAGCATTTCTTCCAGCCACAAGCAATCCCAGATTATTAAGCTCTGGTGGGAAAGGTCCCAGATCTGGGCTGACATAACTGCTGGGGACCCAGAAGCAGAGAAACAGGCTGCATTGTGAAAATTGAGTCTCTTTGTTGGCTCTGTGGGTTGTCAGTGCCGTGGGATTTAGCCTTTTCACATAACTACTCCCCAGAGGAGAATGCATTAAAAGGGAGACGATGTATCATCAAAGGCATTTGGAATAATTGGCCCTCTTCTTGCTCTACCACAAGCTGAGGTTTAGCGAGAAAGGGATTGAAAGGAAAAGATTCCATTCGGAGAGAGAAAACAGTTGAGGACAGGAAGAGCTAACGAGGGGCTCGGCTTCAAAAGGTAATGCTGTGTGGTTTCACATCTCACATTTCTCAGCAGCAGCCTGGCATTCGCCTTCTGCCCTGCAGGCCCCCAGGCTCCCAGTGGATCCCACCCACGCATACTGCCTGCTTTCCTCTCCATGGGCAAATTGTGGCTATTTTATAGAAACGAAAATCACTTGTATCAGAATGAGAGCAGTTCTTGTTTATGAAAATTATCTCACTTCTTCACAATTGTCCACTATGACCGTATTTGCCTCCTTTAACTGACAATCTAATGTTGCCATTTGCTGGGCTGAGCAAACTGCCCCCTCCTGGCCCTCAACACCTGGAGGGCAGCATTTGCACACTTCCCTTTCAGGTGGCAGATGGCAGGTGGCAGAGATAATCCCTCTCACTTCCCTCTGCAATGAATGTGCAACCTCCTGCTGGGAGACAGGCAACCAGGTTAGTGACAGGTGCCCACAGCTACTTCTTTATCATGTTATGACAAAGCAGGGATGGGCTGAAAGAAGCTGACTGAGACATTGATTTTGCCCTGTCTTGAGTTCCACAGGCCCTGAAGTTTCTCTACTCTCCTCTTTCTCCTTCAGGAGCCTGTTGCTATAGGAACCTGCCAGGTTGATTTAATTGTCTCTATTGGGATGCAAACACCTTTAGGCTTCTCCCATGCTGAAGAAGAGCCAGTCAAAAGGTTTTTCTGGTCACCTGGGATCTTGAAAGTACTGGCAGAAGGCACAGTCAGTCTCTCTGCTCACTGAGCTATAGGACTGTTGTTCCCCTTTCTCAGAAGCTGTGCACCCAGCTCGAGACAGTGCCAACATGAGAAGCACCTACAGGCACTGTTGTATTTTTGTCAAGATAAGCCAGTGGGGTAGAGATAATTTATAAAATGATGAAAGATATAAAAATATGTAAAGTCAATTTATTTCAAAGTATGTATCGAGCACCTATTATGAGTCAAGTTTTAGGTCACAACCTTTAGTATTTATAACATAATTTGAAACTTTTCCCAACTGTGGTGTAAATCTAAATATACGTACAGGGGTCCAGCTTTCTCTTCAGCCATTTGAATGGGCTCTAGGAAGATCCCTGAGTGGCAGTCACTAGGAATGGTGATGATTTCGTTATCATCAGTGTTTTGAGGCTGAGGAGGTTCGAGCCTCCTGGTCTACTCACTTACTTTTTCAGGTTTACCCCTTTTGAAGACTAAAGCATATCGGGCTGAATGGCTTACAAATTGCATCTTTTCTAGAATGTTACTGATAATTGAGTTTCTAGCTGTTGTTCTTAAGTGCATATACGTTCTTTTCAAATAACTCCTTCCTTTTCTATCCTTACCTACTTGTTTCTTTTTTTGATGGAGAGAGAGAAGAGGAAAGACATAAAATTTGTATGCGTCCTCCCTAGGAGAACCTAAAGAGGATTGGGAAGTTTGGTTTTACACAGAAAACAATGGAAGAGACTCTTTGTTCTATTGAGGAAAGTATAATGTAGTTTTTGCTAATAAAATAGAAGTAATAATAATTCCTTTTTCATCATTGAATATATCATTGCTCGAATACAGTCAACTCAATCATGTGACCGAAGTCCAGGGAAAATCCCAAAATTTCATCACATATCACAGTCTGGTCCCACTCCATTCCCATCACAATATCATCTCATCAGAGCTGCTAACAGATTGTATATAAAACAAATTTTGGATTTACTTCTCTCTATCTGCCCAATCTCTGGTTGGGATTTAACAAGTGTATGAATGGCAGGTGGCAGGAGAGACCTGGGTAATATAGAGACTGAATCGTTCCTCCTCAGATAACTGGGTGTAAGGTACTGAGTTGAAACATATAGTTGAAAAATTGTAATTTTGGGTCATACTGATCAAACATAATGGTGACCAATGCTTTCATTATCAATAACCTCCTGTTTTCAATTGAAAGGAGGATAAAATATTAACTGAAAAGCAGGTTTGCCAAATGGAATAGCTGCAAATATTTTCCAGAAAAGTTTATCACCTGGTGTCATCACTTGATTTAGTAGGTCTTGCCAAGATAAACACAGAGATGTGGACAGACTGATGGGGGACTGGGTTGGGGTTCTGGTAATGGGGGGAGGAGTGGAGGCAGCTGGGTATCTTGATGGGAAAATGCTTTTGAACTTGGAGCAAGGTACCAAGGTGGGCAGGGAGGCCACGTGCAGATTTAAAGGCAAGCCAGATGGAGAGAAGTTCCCCCCAAATTACCCAACCCCAAACCCAAGAACACCAAAACAAACTCTAAGAGATCTAGCAGTAGCAGCAGCACAGCCTCATTGCGCTGAGCAATTTAGAAAGTGGAGGGAGGAGGAGGAAGGGGAAAGGAAGGGAAACGGGGTGGGAAGAAAAGCAAATAAATAAATAAATAAATAAAACCACAAACAGAACAATATAAATAAAAACAAACAAACCGATAACAGAATAAAATTTGTAACTCCTTTTTTTTTTAATTTCACAAAAGTTTTCACAAGGACAACGTTATAGAATAAAACCCCCAGCAGTGGCTAGGTCATGCAGAACCATTAATTGTCATACCTTGGCCCATTCTATTCATCCTTGTTGCACTTTAGAGAGAGAAGTAAGCTATGTGAGTTTTACAATGCTTTTAAACTGTCATATTTCCTGTTGAGCACTTTAACTGGCACATTCGTATAGTTATAAATGTTCTGAGGGCATAACTTTATAACCTCCTTTGCAAAGAATGCATGAAGAGCTCTTCATGGTCCAAAACTAGGGGTATGTGTGTGTGTATACATATATATATACACATACACATGTATACATATAAATGTATATGTGTGTATATATAGAGAGATATTTATATAGTTATATATAAAAAGATAGGTAGTTATACATAATATATAAATCAATATATAGGGACAAAAATCTAAAAAAAAATCCACTCATAGGGCTTTTTAATGTACATGTATACAATTATTCCCCACCCTTTTACTGGTTTGAATAATGCACGGCCCTGTCTTTGGTGTGGGGGTAGAGGTTCTGACTAAGCCTCACCATTTTGTCAGTAAAAGTGCTTGTCAATTCACACAGCAAGCAAATCTTCAAAACTATCATGCTTAGGGGGGACAGGGGATCCAAAATCTAAACCCAAACCATTCACCATAAAAACACCTTTTTAGAGATGGTACAGCAGTGACATTTTTCTCCTCCCCTCCACCCCTACTCTGTTGGATGGATTTTTTTTTAAAGTAAACATTTCAAATATGCATATACCAGCTCAGAGCTAGTCCATTTACATAAGAATTTTTGAGATGGAATGGGCCGATTTTTAACAACTACTACACTGTCCAAAGTATGATTTGCATGCATAAAACATCTGACAATTGTATACTAAAAAAAGGATATTTTTCTACCTTTCCTCTCATGCTTCTAACTGATAAAAAGAAAGAAAACAAAAAAAAAATTATACCAAAATGTGTTTGGCTCACTGTTATACTCTCTTCCTCCTCCCATCTCAAGACGACAAAAAGCAGTTCTCTCGGACTGCCCTTCACCTGCCTAAGTGAACTGGCTGTGTCAGAGGAACTGACGAGGAGGCATGTTCCCACCAGCTTTCTCCTTTGGGACAGCCGGCCTTGTGCAGCGGCACCGCCAGTTTAAGATGGTAGCTGGCTTCTGTCTTTGTTGGGTCAACTGTGGCTTGATCCCCCCCACATTCTGACCTATTTATCATGTCGGCTCCTAAAAGACAGAAACGGATGTGCTGCTGGGTTTATAGTTCTCTCACTGCACCACGACCCAGCCCTTGCTCCTACCTGGCATGGGGGCCCTAGCTAATCAAACAGAGGGGAGTGAAAGGGTCCCCTGAGAATGTGTGGAAAAATACTTGCTCTTTCCTGAGCATTATTTATTCTGTACATAAGGTAAGTAATTCACCTTTTAAAAGATGTAAAAGTCCCAGGAAGGCAGTTTTTAATGACTTACATCTGATATTTATGATACATATGGCTTTTCATCCCAAATGTCAAAAGTGAAAGAAAAAAATAGCTATTCATATGGCAGCGTAAGGAGACAGAATAACAATTTAATATGCAATCAAACCTCTTTGCACTTAAATTAAATGACTAGAATTTGATATATCCACGAATGGAATACTATTCTTTCCTCCACAGTAAGGGTAGAAATGTTCATCTGAACTCCCAAAGGAAGCCAGCTCTGGGACTATAGCCCTTGGTTAGTAGCTAAAAAAACCCCTCGGTTGTTCTCTTACAACAAGCAGGTGCTTAATCATCATCTACACAAATGGCGAAAGCTTTTCAAAAGCTTCGCGATCCTTCGGCCCAGAGAGTGGAAACATTAGATACGTTTTTGTTCCTTTTTAGTTGCTTGTTTCAAATAAACACGTATATATATTACTGTGTGTATATAAAAAAGAAAGGAAAACAACAAAATCAAAACCCAAAGCACCCCAATAATCCTGAAAAATCAGAATGAACTTTTCTTCTACATGAACTAAATTAAGTAGGTCAACTTGCTTTGCCTAACTGACATGGGGTGCAAGTGCTCTGCTCATCTGCGACCTTGTTCTCGCAGTGAGCTACTTATGTCTGAAGCATGCCTTTGGGTTACTTTCCCCCTAGAATCATAAATAACTTTTGGTCCTTCTGCTTAGTTGCTGTTGTGCTCTAGGGTTTTATGGTGGTGAAATAAAAATGACAACCACATGCACACTATCATACATATGCAAATATGTGTAAAAAAAGGGGGGACTACAGGGGAAAACGGGGAAAGTTACTGTTGGAAACACCCACTGGGAAAATGAGTGGCAGATACAGTTTCACACATGGTGGCAGTGGATACACATATCAGAGCCGCTCTTCCTGCACGTACTTCTGTTTGTCTCGGGACTCCCGGGACTTGGGCCGGTTCGGTCGGTTTGCTGTGGACGGGATGGAGTGCACGGAGGAGCTCTTCTTACTGGAGGACTGGGACGAGTGGGAGGAATGGGAGAGGCTGGCCCGGGACTGGCCGGCGTTGTGGTCAAACTGCATTAAGCAGAAGATCAGGTCCGTCGGCACGAGCTCAAACTCGTAGGGGGGGTTGGTGATGACATACCTGGTGGGGGAGAACAAAGAGGTCATAGAATGAGGATGACTGGATGGAAATTTCACCTCTCTCTGAATCAAAAGGAGGTCTACTGGAAGCTCTGGAAGGTGGACTTACAGCTGCTGGCCCAAGGACTTAAAAATTATCTTCCAAGTTGAACGGAATCTTCCTCTGTTTAGCTCAACAGAAAAGACCAGCATGAGTTGTGCCATCCCAAGATGCTTAATCAGTGCTGGTAATGGGAAAACAAAACTGCACTGCCTATGATCTATGTGCCCCTTTAAATATAATGTCAAGTTCCCTTCTGATCCTGAGTAGCCCAAGTGCATGCAGGAGGTTTCATGGACTGCATTGTGTTGTCTTTCATTCTAGAATGCTCTGACAATCCTAGACACACATCACAGGATGTTTGTTTACCATAATGTAGCATCTTCTTAGTCCTTCCTCACTCTTTACCTTTTAAAAATCAACTTTGATGGGTATTTTACTAAACGGAAGAACATAAAACACCTCCTTGTCTATGAGTCAGTCCCGCTTTAACTGTTCTCACTTTGATCAGGCTTCCTTTGATTAACACCAGACATGACTTTCAAAAAAAAAAAAATCAGTTTCATCTACAGCAGTGAATCTCTAAAGTATGATCCTTAAGCCAGAGATATCAGCATTACTGGGAACTTGTTAAAAATGCAAATTCTTAAAGCAACCCCACCCCAAACCTACAGATACTCTGGGCATGAGGTCTAGCAGTTTGTGTTTTAATAAGCTTTGCGGGTGACTCTCATGTTCACTAAACTTTGAGAACCCACTGGTCTACAGCAATTATTCTCAACTCTGGCTATACTCTGTAATCTCTGGGCATTAAAACATTTTATTTTCATTCCAGACCAGTTAAGTCAGACTAATCAGAGTCTTTTTTAAAAGTACACCCAGTGATTCTAATATTCAAGCAGGGCTGAGAAACACTCAACTCCATAGCATTGTTACCTGGGGTACATGCACACACAGTGATTTTGATAATTCTGGAACGTACTCTTAATTTGGGCTGCTATGAATTTATCTTGATGCATATTAGAGCAATACAACTAGCCAACATAAACTGTTATTTTTTCTGCTTCAGGTGATAATATAATTTTCTTAAACAAATATATAACAGTAAATGAGTCAATTAAAAATATATTAAAAATATAAGCATCTAAGATGTGGCAAAGGAATCATTTATCTTAAATACTAGCAATATGAAATATATCTATATTAGGGACCTACAGAACTATCCAGGTAGCTAGAGTTCGGAGGAGATGCTTCTACTCATACGTCTGTAATTAGGTGATAGAACTATTCTACAAAACTTGAAATCTTCCCACAATGTTTTTACATCTGTTATTAGTAATTAAAGAAAGATAACTTCCCATAACTCAGTGTTGGACTGAATGTGAGCAGAGTAATTTGTGCGTTGAGAGAATGTATAGAGGCCTTTGCCTTCATCATGAGGGACAGGAGGGTTGTTTGTCATGCTGCATTTTGGTAGGGGAGCAGAGTGGAAACATACTCACCTCTTCGTGCACTGGCTGGGGGTGCTGAGGTGAGCATCTCTCAGACGATAAATTCCAAAACAAAGCATATTATACGTTTTCAGAGCTTTGCAGAACAGATCACCATAACAACCACCATCCTAGGAGACCACAAAAGATCAGAGAGAAACATCATTTTTATTGGCTTACAAGTAGAGGTCCAGGGGGAAATGGCCTTTTCACAAAGGCTTGTTTGGTGTCTCTGGAGTTGGAGGGTCTGTACCAAAGGACTGTAGATGAAAAAGTCAACGTGGTTAACAGCCTACACCCAATATTTTTTGGAATTGATAATAGTGAGGTTTTCCCCTGGTTCTCTCTCACTTTCCATCGGTAGCAATGAGAGCCCTGAGGAGACCGCACCTCTCCCTCACTTTAAGTGAGGGTGTAAAGCTTGAAGGTCTCAGCTGTATGTTCAGCTAAGGAGAAGAAACCAGCTCTGCAAAATGATGATTGTGTTTAGCCCCAGCATGGCCGTAATCACTGTGATCTGACTGCGTTGTCAAAACTGCTTGAGTGATAATTAAAATCACTGCAAGAAGAAAAGACACCACTAGGTACTATGGTGACAAACTCTTTCAGGTAAGAACTGTGTGAAAAGCACAATTTACAGACCTCAGAGATGGCAAGAGTGGAAGAGAAAATGTTTCCCCAGGAGCTGGAGGTCTGTAGGCTGAATAACTGGAATTCACAGTTCTAATCAGTTCACAATCACCTTCCAAGGGTCTGGAGCCTGATGTGGAATGTGAAAGCAAATTCATTCACTTGGAAATGCTGCCTTCAGGTAGGCGTTACAGGAAGGGCACTGAAGAATGATTTCACTGGGAATAAAGTGACTTCATCTGCCCTTCCTGTCTTTGGGATTTCCATATAGGCATGATATTAGAGAATACAAGCAGAGCCAAATCTTACCATTATTTCAAGTCTTGGTCCCTTTAAAAATATACCATTAAGTAAATGATAGTTAAAAGAGCCACTAGTTATAGAAGCTGCGTTTCAAAAAAGTCCAGTCTAACATATATTCCTGCCCATAACCAAACTAAGATATGGTGCAAGTTAGTATCAGAGCTTCAGAAGAAATGGAGGTACCCCTTTCATTGGGCAATACTATTGTTTGTGCAGTGGGTTTATTTGTTCCTAAGACTTGTAGCTCCACCCCTTGAATGCATCTCTGGAGTAGGGCTGGGAATGGTCAAGACTGCATACTTCTGCCAAAGTGCTTCAATCAGGCTGGTGTGCATGGAACCCAAAGGGAGGCATTGGTCAGCTCTGTGGCAGGGAGGCATGGAGGAGAGTAACTGATTCCAGCCTCAGAAAGTAGACTACCTGGATCTGGAACTAGAGACACTAAAGGATCCACATGAGATGTTACTGTTTGGCCAGTGGTAGCGGATGTGGATACTTACTAGTGGTGTTTTGAAAACTGTCAATGCCTGGGTCCTATCCAGATACAAAGACTCAGAAACCTGGGAGCTGTGCACAGCCCTCAGTGGTTTGCAAAAGCTCCTCATGGGCTATTAATGTGCATTTGGGGTTAAGTAGCTCTGAGCTATGCTAAGACCCTGTAGAAAATGTTCACAGATGTGCCTGTGTGCTGGAATCACCTGCTGTCTTTTATCTCTTGGTAGAAGATACCTACAGGGAGTGAATAAGCCATAGCTCTGAAGCCAGGGTTCCTGATGCAAATTCCTGATAGAGCCTATCTGCAGTCTCTCTGAGCCTCAGTTTCCTTAAAGTGTCTGATAATAGAACCTACATCAAAGGGTTGCCACAAGGATCAAAATGATTACATGTAAAACATGTACCTGATATATAGTAAACTGTAAATGTCACCTCTTATAATTATTTACTTTAGAAGGTAGAAAAGACAGATGCTGCCCTGGCTGGTGTAGCTCAGTGGATTGAGTGCAGGCCTGTGAACCAAAGGGTCACTGGTTCCATTCCTAGTCAGGGCACCTGCCTGGATTGCAGGCCAGGTCCCCAGTTGGGGGCGTGTAAGAGGCAAGCACACATTGATGTTTCTCTCTCTCTCTATCTTTCTCCCTCCCTTCCCCTCTCTCTAGAAATAAATAAATAAAATATTTTTTAAAAAGGCAGATGCTTAGTTTGTCCTGTCTGGCACCCAGTTCACTTGGACTGAGGTATTACCCAAGAGCAGGCTCAGGAGACCTCTGTGCAGTACACTCACCCCCAAGTCCGCGAAGGGCCCATCCAGCAGCGCTAACTGGGCCACGCGGCAGCGGTCCCTATTGGCCAGCGTCTGGGGGGTGCTGTAGCCCCCGCGAAGGGCATTCTCTTCAGCAATCAGAGCCTCGAGCTCCGGTGTGGCTCCTCCAGTCACCAGGGTCCGTATCAGGGTAAGGATATTGTCATTGAAGTATGTCTGAGAAAAGACAGAGAGAGAGGTAGGGGAAGTCCTTTAAGCACATACCCTAAAGTCACAACAACCGACATCCAAATTACAACTTTTCTTGGTATTCCTGTTTAAAGTTCTGGCCTGTCTCTTCAAATAATTTTATGTGGGAAGTGAAAAGACAGCAGCTTCCAATTATTCCATTCTTTTCTCTCCTACTTGGTTCTGCCACAAGAGCCTGACTTTTAAAAACCAATTCAGAGGATTTTTATTAAGGGGCTAAAGTCTAAATTGTTGGGGTTTACCATAATTGATGGTACCAGGAATGTACACACTGCTTACACGTGTAATAAAGGGCAGGCTGCCCAGGCTGCTGACCCAAGCTGGGCTGCCCCTGAGGCCCTGTCACCCATGTGCTCAGAAGCCACCTCTCCCCAGTGGCAGAACTTCTATGTTGGAAGGAGATGCCAAGGGCATCATTAAGGCCACAGCCTTAACAACTTATCACAGGTTTTGATACAATCTAACCCAGAAGTCAATTAAATATGCCAGAGAAATTTACGAGGAGGTGCATGTCTTGGTGTGTGCACTTTGGCTTTGTTTTTTATATAACCTCAGTCGTCTGAGGCAAATCCAGCTTATTAGGGAAGCTTCCTCTACATGTACATTTGTCTCACATCTGACACATAACAGGTCTGTCAAGAGTAAAACAATGGGAGTTTTAAAAAAAATTAATAGGATGTCAAATGAAAGAGCTCGAAAAGACATCTGTTACCCAGCCTAATTTGAAAAAAATCTCAGTTAAGGGTCTGCATTCAATTCTCCCATGTACGAAGAAATCAAACAGGCTAAATAGAATCCAACTAAATATTGCCTGTGGCTTTTGAGGATGTATGGACCTTTGGGAGCAGGTTAGGAAAGACAGCTTCATTTTTTACTTCGGCAGTTTCTTAGACAGTTTACCTGGCTAAACTGAGTGGGGAACAAACCAGGTAAGGGTAGGTTCTTATCCTGCTTGGCCATCACTATTTCTATGTCTTGGGGAAGTTGCCTAATCATTCTGGGCTTTGATTTTCTCACGGGCAAAATAAGTACAGTCATTAAGATCAAGTTTAAATGTAATGAATTCCATTAGGACTTCCCAGTTCATATGAGAGCTAGTAAGGCTGAGTTCATTTTCTTCATTGAAATATTCACAAAAATACCCAAGTGATACAAAATTCCAAGAGTAAAGGAAACTAGAGGTGTTCTTCAGAACAAGTCTGACCATAAGGAGAATGTATAGGCCAAAAATTTTTGGCCTCTCAGAACTCAGCTGTACAGGGCAGAGGAGAACAAGGATGAGAAAAGGAAGAAGTGTTGCTGACATGCATGTGTGCATGTGTGTGTACATAATGGTATATGTTTATATCTATTATCTGACTGGATAGATAACTAGATTGGTGATAGATAGATAGATAGATAGATAGATAAGATAGAACAATACAGATAGATATAGAATGGTTAAAGGAGAAGGGTCAGGCTTGGGTTTAATGCTGACCTCACACTCAGTAGCTGCATAGCCTTAGAAAGTTACCATTTTTGTGTTTCAATTTCATGATCTGTGAAATGTAATGATACAGTGGTTATAAGTACTATATAACTAATACATGTGAGGCACTTAGAAAAGTGTGCACAGGAAGCACTGATAAATACTTTTGGCCTAATATCAGAGACTGGGGTCTTTTGATGATGACAGCAGCAGTCAGCTCATTCCCCACATCCCCTTTGTAAAAATCTTTTGCATTTTTTGGGAGGTGGGAAGCAAGGCCATTCATTTCATCCTTGAGTCAGCACCTGTCAGTCTGCCCCTAATCTAATGGCTCACTGGGACTCAGGGATGGTGCTGCAAGGGTCGTGGGGGACTGCACCCTGGGATGTGGCTGCAGCCCTGGGGCAGGGCACCTGAGGTGCTGTCCAGTGGAGGCAGGCTCAGGGCACGTGCACAAACATCTCCAAAGTTTTCTGAAACAAATCCTCTTCCCCACCATCAGAGAGCCTATCATTAGAAGCTAGAAACCCCTCCTGGGCTCTGAAGCACAGTAAGGGAGTGAGCGTGGGACACAGACCTTGGAAGAGCCTTTGCATTAAAATCACCCTTCTAAATCAAGACCGATGAGGAAGTGTAACAGCACACAGGGTGGAAACAGAACATATATACTCACATACTGAAAAACTGACCTCTCCTTGCTCAAATTTGGGGGTGGGGGTGGGGTGGGGGAAGAAAGCCAAAGAGCCAATGTAAGTATTTTTTAAAAGAGTACCACAGTGTTTAAAATATAAAGAAAATCAATCAAAATTAGAAGAAGTAAAGAAAAATTCGTTTTGGAATCATACTAATTTTAAAAAAATGCAGAGTATCTTTAACAAGTCAAAGATTAGATGGTAAGAAAGCTTACTTTATACCATTTATCTAATTTTTTATGTAAGATATTGAAATTAAAATGGATGTGGTAAGAAATAGTTAAAAGAGTCCAGTACCTTTCCATGACAAACACACTCAACAAACTAAGAATAGAAGGGAACATCCTCAGTCTGATAAAAGGCATACATGAAAAACACACGGCTAACATCAAACTTAATGTTGAAACACTGGATGTTTTCCCGTTAAGATCAGAAACAAGTGGAAAATAATGGCTTTCACCACTTCTTTTTAACATAGCACTGGAAGTTCTAGCCAGGCTAGAAAGAAATAAAAGGCATTCATATCAGAAGGGAATAAGTGAAACTGCTTCTGTTCTCTGAGAACATAATCTTGAATGTACAAGGTGGGACAAAAGGAAGTTTACAGTTATGAGTACTCAAAACACAGAATTAATAGAGCTATTATAATCATCTAAACTGCGTGTCTTTTTTTTTAATACAAACAACTGTAAACTTACTTTCTCCCCACCCTGTATGTAAATCTCAGGGAATCCACTAAAATATTATTATAGGTAATGAATGAGTTCAGCAACTTGGCAAGATACAGAATCAATATACAAAAATCATTTGTGTATCTGTGTACTGTCAACGAACAATACAAGAATGAAATTAAGAGAACTATCTCACTCAGAAAAGCAATATGAAGAATAAAATACTTAGTAATAAGTATTAACCAAGGAGATACAAGACTGGTACTCAGAAAACTACAATATTGCTGAAAATAATTAAAGAATACCTAAGTAAATGGAGAGGACTTAATATAATTAAGATGACAATATGCCTCAAAACAAACTAAATATTCAATGCAATCTCTATCGAAATCTCAAAGACTATTTTTGCAGAAATGGATAAGCTGATTCTAAAATTCATATGAAATTGCAAGTGACCACAAGCCAAGACAATCTTGAAAAACAAAAAGTTGGAGGCCAATCACTTTCTAATTTTAAAACACACTACAAAGTTACTAAATCAAGACAGTGTGATATTGGCATACAGATAGCATTTGGACCATTGGAATAGAATTGAGAATCCAAAAATACACAAACACACTTGTGGTCAATTGATTTTGAACAAGGGTGTCAAGACCACTGGAGAAAGAATACAGCCTCTTAAACAAGTGGCGGGCAACATCCAGTGCAGAATACAGCTGTAGTCCTATCTCACTCCAGGTGCAAAAATTGACTCAAAATAGGTCACAGACCTAAATATAAGAGCTAAAACTATAAGACACTTCAAAAAAACACAGGAGTAAATATTTATCATCTTCGATTTGAAAATGGATTCTTTGATATGACACCTAAAACATACGCAAAAAACCCCCACAAAACACCAGATAAATTGAACTTCAAAATAAAAAGTATTTTGTGCATCAGAGGACATTATCCGGAGGGTGAAAGGAAAACCTACAGAATGAGAGAAGAAAACCTACAGAATTAGCATATTTGCTAATCATATGTCTGCTTAGGGTCTCGTATCTAGAGTATATTTTTAAAAATCTTGCAATTCAACACCATGAAGACAAATTACTCCTTTTTTTAAATGGATAAAAATTTAAATTAACATTTCTCAAAATAAAGATATGCAAATCATGAACAAACAAATGAAAAGATGCTCACCATCACTAGGCATTAATCAAATACAACTTAAAAACATGAGATACCATTCCACACTCACGTGGCTGACTATAATTAAAAAGACAGAGGATATTAAGGGTTGGTGAGGATGAGGAGAAACTGGAACACTAATGGACTGCTGGTGGGAACATAAAATGATGCAGCTCTTTTGGAAAACAGTCTGGAAATTCCTGAGATGGTTAAACATAGAGTTACCATATAACCTGCCAATTTCACTCCCCCATATATACCCAAGAGAAATGAAAACATACACCCATATGAAAACCTGTTCACTATGTTTATAGCAGCATAGTAATCAAAAAGTAAAAATTATCCAAATGTCCATCAATCAGTGAAAGCATAACCAAAGTTCATGCCCATGTATGAATATTATTTGGCCATAAAAAGGAGTGAAGTACTGATATATGTCCCAACACAGATGGCCCTTGGAAACATTATGCTAATTGAAAGAAGTCATTTACAAAAGAATACATATTATATGATTCCATTTATGTAAAATGTCCATAAAAGACAAATCTATAGAGATAGGTAATAGATTAATAGCTTAGGGTTGGGACAGAGGGATAGTGAGGGATAGCTAAAGGGTATGGCTCTCTTTTTTAAGGCAAAGACAATGTTCTACAATTGACTGTGGTGATGGCTGTACATATCTGTGATTATACTAAGAGCCTTTAAATTGTGCACTTAAATGGGTGAATTGTGTGATGTTAATTATATTTCAATAAAGATATTTAAAAAATAGTTGAAAGGTAATTAAACTTGTTACCTTTGGCCAAATATTTATCTGTTAACAATCAGTAATTAACAATACTGTGCTGTACACTGAAAAATCTAAGTGGGTAGATCTCATGTTAAATGTTCTCATCACAATAAATAAAGAAACAGTATGCTGTAGAACTGAAAATCAGACACACACACAATTAGTAAGCTGGA